AAAAAAAAAACAAATAACTTTTCACACGTTGTTTGCAATTTCTCGTAATTCATCTCTTAAAAGGAAGTAGGAGGAAATTTTGAAGAATGCTCGCTATACGCTCATGTACTTTTCTCCAGAATTACTGAAACTGAAAACTGTCCTTCAATAATCCAAGCGGCGCAAAAACATCCAACTTTAGGAGTAGGTTTTGTAAGGTCCATGTAAAGTTTTGTCTAGTCTAACTGTTCTGGTGCCGACTTGCCCCATTCCAAGACTGTCATGTACTATGCACCCTTTACTTTGAGGGGGGAGTTAGGCGAGCAAAATACAGCAATCTTCAATTTTTCTCAATCTGTTAGCCTGACATGTCCTTTCTCAACGATCATTATCTGTTGCCTGTTTCAACTCCTTTTCGATCCCACGTTAATCCCTTTCTAACGTATTCCTCAATGTATTTCTGCACATTTGAGGTTATCCATCTTCCTTTTCTGTTTCTCTTATTCACTCTGCCCTTTGGTTTGTCCATCTGTCGCTTCGTTTCTCTTCTCTGCTATATACATTCGTCAACTTCTCATACTTGTCAACTTATCCAATTCTTTCTCATTTCTTGCGGCCTCAAACTCCCCTCACAAACATCCAGAAATTTCACATCTACTGTATCCCATATTATTTCGAATTTGAAAGTTGAAGTTTAACATGAAGTAGGAGAGGATAGTATAATCAAACTGTACGACTTCTGTAGTATTAGGTTGATGCATAATTAATGCGGTTTTTTCCAGCAAATTTTACTTAAACAATAGGAATACTAAGCAAAGACGTGTTCAAATAATTACTCTGGAACGTATCCACCATCCACGTTGAGCATTGCCTCCCATTTGCTAGGCAGTCGGATTCCATAGGCGATGAAGTTTCGATTCTTGGAGGTGATCCACGCCTTGGGGTCAGGTCAGCCTTCAAGCCATCCATTTCGTCGGAAAAAGCTAATTTTTCAACGGGCGATTGACGTGGTAACCCACAGGAATTTCTGTTGGTGAATAGCACGACCGTAGAAGCAGATTCCATTCTTTATTCGGCTTCGGCTTACTGTTCCATCGCCGAAAACCTCGTTGAGATCACGTTATGACTGTGCCACCCTTCAACCTTTCTCGAAGTTATAGTGCATAATGTGGCGAATGTGAAGATGACTATCTAGCATATTTCTGTCAAGAGAAGCAAGAAGATTATTCCTATCAAATCCCGAACTCAATGTCCAAATTGTATCGAGAGAAAGGAGCCGCGAAAAAATCCGCAATAATTATGCATCAACCTAATATATTGTTATTTACCAATCATTGTGATACAGTATTCAAAATAGAAGACCTCANTGAAGCTGTGTAAAAATAAACCCTTCAAAAAGAAATGAATGAAAAGGGACAGCTGGTAGCTGACCTGTTAATGAATCCTACTACGGCGTTCTTCAAGTCCGCAGGATGAAGAGGAAAATCTGGATTTGTGCCCTGCGTAAATTCATGCTTCAACTCCTCGTATGATGTCACGCTCAAATTGCCACCATTTTCTGGGCTTCTCAATATGTCGAGACCTGAAACTGGAGATTGAAAATTGAAGCCGGTTGAAGGAGCCGAACGTTCTTATCCAGGAAGGGAAGGGGGAATGGAGAAGGGATCCAGTCTCTCTTAAGTCGTCACACCCGAATTCTTAGACGTCGCAACATATTAGCAAGAAGTGAACCGAAGCTCTTTCTCCTTTTATAGCGCTGACTTTGATCAATTCATATCACTCATTTTTGGTCACTCTAGCAACCCGTACCGTCTCATTCTAAGAAACAATCAAAACACTAAGGTCACATAGTGAAAACGAAGAGCATAAAAGCTTTTTGAAACTCTTTTTTAGCTTATAAAGTCAGTTTTTATCATTTCTGCAATTCGTTATTTGCGATCCAATCACATAATTAGCAACGCTCTGCTGCCGTATCAAAAGAGGCGGTGATCTAGAGGTAATCACAAGCCCCCATCAATTGCTATGAGTGCTCTATCAGTTCTTGTCATCAACCATCTATAGTCCTACACACCCGACATTCCCTAACAAAGTGCTAAGGTTCCGTTGTTAATACAAAGGGCGTAATGTTTCTAGTGGTTTTTACATTCTAAGGCTTTCTAACAGCCTCTGTTGATTGTTACCACTTCCTATCTCCTGGCATCAGTGTGCCCGTCCTGCCGCCTGTATCCCTTCCGAATTTGAACGCTCTCAACCTAGAAGGACGACTTAATGAATTTTCGGTCAAACATACACCGAACCACGAACCTACCCGCGGAACACCGACACACGTTACCAAACCACTTAGCGATATATATTAGGTGTGTGCACTAATTTCCGCCGTTTTTCGCGTGCAAAAACATACTTATTACAAAATTAAAACTAAATGTACATTAACCAATGTATTGCCCATCGTTAGCTACAACTTCTTGCCATCCTCCTGGTATCTTGTCGTCTCCGGGTCTAGAAAAGTCTTCATCTTTTGAGGCAATCTTGTTAT